TTAAGATAAGGAAAGAATCAAAATAATCTCAGATGAAGAAAAACTTATATCCAACCGATCTACATAAAGGAAAGTCAATCAGAAATGTAAACAATGAAAAAGGAAACTTAGAACATCAAGAAAGAACAAAAAATGGTAAAAGTAAAAATTTTCACTTGTGTTTTTAAGATCTGATTTACAATTGAAACAAGATTTATAACACTTTCTCCAAAACATTTTCTCATATATGTAGACAATATTTATTATAAATATGTTTTGAAATGAGCAACATAAAGGAAATAAGGTTTCTGTACTTCACTTGAACTGTAAAAGCTGGGATGGAGATATAGCTCAGTGGCATAAGTGCTTGCCTGGGAAGGGCAAGGTCCTGAGTTCGATTTCCAGTACAAAAAAAAAGTAAAAAAAGAACTGTAACAGTTGGATACCCTTAGATAATAAGCCATATAGTCACAAAGTAATATATAGTGTAACCTCTAAAAAGCTGTGCAAAGAAATAACAGTAAAATCATTATTGATAAGGTAGATTTATGAAAATTTTTCATGTAACTCTCAAGAGAAAATAAAAAAGAAAACAGAAAAAAAGAAAGAACAAACGTAAAGAAAAAAAAAATAGTGTCAAGGTTAGCCCTAACAAGTCAATAATTAAATCCAACGTGAGCTGTCTAAATACAGCAATGAAAATACAGAGAATGACAGAATAGAATAAAAAGAACTATTATATTCTATCTCTGATGCTATTGGGAAAAGATTCACTTACAACACACGTAGATTACAAAGGTAAAAGTTGGAAAAACAACTTCATAGCAACCTTTTTGTTACAAGCAAAAAATTGGAAAGCTCTAGATATTCAGTAATAGGTGAGTGGTTAAGAAGGTGGTGATGCAGTCATACTGAATTATTCTATTCAGCAACAAAAATAAAAAATAAAGGATTTGATACACACCAGAGTTGCGTAAATGGTGGGCATTACACTGGATGTAACAGGTCAATTTACAAATGTTACTTAGTGTATGACTCCAATTTAATAACTCTCTAGAAAGGACAGTATTATAAAATTGGAATGACAGTGGTCGTCTTAGTTGAGAACAGTGGTTAGAGGAGGTGTGATTGTAACTGTAAGGGACAGCACAGGAGATTCCTTTTGCTAAGGGGTGGTTCTGCATGTGAGGGTGGCAGTGGCTCCCTAAGTCAATTCAGAGGCTGGGAATGCAGAAAATTACACACACACACACACTTCACTCCCATCCATATTCTAGTTTGATGCTGCTCAAAAGTTGTTTGTGACAGACCTATTGCAAGAAACTAAGTGAAATGTACCTGGAGACTGTGCTAGCTTTGCAACTCCTTCTGTCTCATTACTTCAAAGTTTAAACTGAAAAAAAGTCGCTTCTGTTGGGAGCAGTTTATTTAATTAGTCAAAGTACTGTATTCATCTACACAATAAGTTTAGTTTTCAGTGTAAGGAAGACAATTATGTGTAAGTACCTTCTTCATTACTTACTGTAGGGAAAGTAGCAGATAAATGTAGCTGACCAACAAAGGGTAAAATTGGCAGGAACAACTCTTGGTGTAAGTGGAATACATCTATACTGAGGCCAGAAGGAGCATAAAGAACTAGTTTATAGCAGACGGATGGAGTATTGGGGAAACATCAGAAAGAAAGTGCTTTCCTGTACCACCACTACATCATCTCATTTTCATTTTTAATATCTGATCCCTAAAGTCCATAATTTTTTCCAATTTTAACCCTAATTCTGAGAATCAAAGGACAGAGAAATACCTTGGCACTAAAGCCATGAGGTGAGGAGAATCAGAATGTCTCTGGACACAAGGGATCCCCTGTCCTAGGAGATCATAGACCAGGCCACTGAGGACAAGCCAGAGGGCTCATTCCACACAAGTGGTGGAAGTTAGAAAATTTTCATAACTGTAAAATGCATGTCTAATTTTTTCTGTGATGCTTAGGAATGGTTTTCTAAAACCTGAAGGATGAATAGGACTTTGCCCATTGGATAAAAGGACAAAGAATAACACTTAGCCAAGGAAGTACCATGTGTGATAGTAGAGAAAATAAATTTCCGCCTTGGTTAAGAGTGTACGTAGTTATGTTTTTATATTTAAATCTTTCACTTCTCACCTGCTCCAATCCTGCAAATATATAAGCTGGAAAAACTAATAGAATTATCAGGCATGTTACTTTAAGTAGAAATTCTATGATGTTGTGTATTTGAATATAGATCATTAACAAATTATAATTTGAAATTATTAGAAGCATTTATGAAATATATTCAAAGTCTACTATTAATTGTCTAATAGTTAATATTTATGCTAATTTTACTCCTCTTCTCAGCATGGCAGGATTATAAAACCAAATCTATGTGCAATTTAATTTATAATTCCAATCTGCCTTCTTCCAGCCTCGTGATGTTATCCATTATCATTATTCTAATAACTCCACTAACCAACACTGCTACTATTTAATTAAACTAAAAATATATCTAAGCACTTAGAAAAGAATATTAATAATGACAAACACTGCAAATAGAAGAGTGAATTCCAAAATATTATTCTTTAAATTATATTAAGATGAGATTCAATGCTTCATTCTTACAAAATTACATTGCTGTATATATCAGATTCAAATGCCTGGAAAGATAGTTAAAAATCAGCTGTAGATTTGCATATTACATTATAATTTTATAAACAAATTTATGCCTATTACCTTATTTAATTCACACAATAGCCAGCACACATGGCTGATCAAATGGTTGATAATTATAGTTAGATAGGTGAAAGAAGTTAAAGAGATCTATTTAGTGATGACATACTGTATCTCCCTAAAGTGCAGAGAATGGAGTTTAAATGTTTTTACTACAAAAATAACTATGTGAGGCAATGTACCTGTTCATTAGGTAGCTTTTCCCATTCTACAGTGTATGCATACCTCAGATCACCATGGGATATTGTACACGTGGTAAAGGTGTATAACTGTGTCTGTCAATTTAAAAAGTAGCCAGAGATTATTATGCAATTTTGGGAAAGTAGGAAACTTGCTAAGGGTCACTGAGGCTTAGAGAGTCACACAAAGTTTGGCTGAATAGATAAATAAAGAAATCATCTTAGAAGTACATGGATCTAACAACTGCTAGTACTGAATTTGTTTCCCTTTTACCCTATGGAGAATCTGGCCATGAATTCAATGCTCTCATACCAATTTTATGGTTTTATAGCAGCTCTAAAGAGTGAAGTGTTAGTGGTCAAGAGCACATTCAAACTTCACAGATATTATAGGAGCCATAATACACATGTACATAAATGTGTCTGCTTTCCTGTTTGCTTTTGTTTACTTGAATAAGTAATACTAAGCATATGATATGGATAGGGCCGGGGATATAGCTCAGTGGCAGAAGCAACAGCCTGGCAAGCCCAAGGTCCTGAGTTCAATTCCCAACACCAAAAAAAAGAGTGAAAACAAAGTGTTCCCTTCTAATTTTATTTATAGCAAATTCAGCACATGAACATTGTTGAATAAAATTATAACCAAATAAAATTTGTTTTATTTGATATGAAGTGGTATCTTATATGTTAAAAATACCTGTTATTTGCAAGTAATGCCTAAAACTACATAGCTTGAACTTTGAATTGTAGAAAAGTATTAGATTGCTCAAACCATTAAAGAGAGTAAGAAAATAATTCTTCAATAAAACATTAGAGATAGAGAGTTTCCCTAGACAAGATTGTAGGAGTTCACCATTGTAATTCCATTGCATATTGTTACCTCCAAATCAGTTGCTCAGAACACCAGACACAAGCATGCAAAGTTGATCAGAACATAAAAAATTGTGAGCATTAACTGTTCATTTCAATACACCATCAGACAACAGCAATACAGTCATCGCAACTATTCATATATATATTTATGTTTTGCCTTCCTTCTTTCTTTCATTCTTACATCTGATAATCTGAGCAATGTAGTTGAGGATAGTGGTATGCAACGTAACAACCACTGTTGATTTGTATTAATTTGTCTTGAGACCCTGTATCGCTTTGAATGTTTTTGCTTTGATTTGTTTATGTTTGTGATACTGGTATGCTGCTACTGTTCTATTTGTTTTTTGTTTGCTTGTTTCTCATGTAGTATTCTTTTTAAAATAAAGAAAAAAGTATTAGAAACATGCTTGGGAAAATCGACCTGATTTGGTGATGACTATCACTACCTTCTTAAAATGGACTTAACCTCTTTGGGAAGGAGACACACCACACCAAAAGCACTTGGAGCCCATTAACATGTCCCAGCCTTAATTTGACCTACCTGATATCTCTGTGTACAAGTTACTCACATTCTGGGGTTTTTAGACATCTCATCAGTTAAAATTTAATTACAACTCCAAAATCCTTGATTCTGAGCAGCAGTTTGAAATTAGACCCAGCAACCTCACAATTTGTATCATTTCATTCTCCCTTGATTACTTTAGCAGTTCAGGCTGGCCGATTAACATGTGATTGCCGGTTGAATCAGTCCCTTACGCATTGAGATGAAGACTTTTCTCTTGTGATATTTCTATTTGAGCCTTGTGTTTATTGATTTATGATTTTCCAGTCTACTAAAGTGAAAATCACCTTGACTAGGAATCAAAAGATAGTTTTATTCTGGGCTCTCCCAATGTTCATTTGACTTTTCTGAACTACAGTGCTTTTAGGTATAAAGGGTAAGTATTAAAACATGTATTCTGAAGATTGCAGGGTCTCAAAGCCATTTCAGCTTTGATATTATACTTATGAGATAGGAGGGCTAGATTTTCTTGGAGTTTATGTTGCAAGGAATACAAATCCTAAGGCACTTGAAAGGTCAGTTCAGTGAGTTCTTATGTCAGTCATGACCAGAACATTTAATTCTTTGAATAATATACAGTTACAAGGTTGGCCCAGGTTCTGAACAAGTGAGGTTACAAAAGAATAAGAAACAGCAAACAACAAGGACGTGTTTACTGCCCCTTTACCTGATGGTGAGATGTGTCGCCAAGAGATGGAAGGCTCTGGCTTCCCAGTGGCCAAACAAGTGAGGGTGACATTGGTCCCTTCGTTGATGGTCATGTCGTTAGAGATGTCATATATCTTCGGGGGAACTGAAACGGCAAAAACATGCAGTGGTCAGAAAAAACACTAAACACTGTTGAATTACAGGAATCACATCCTTGATATTATGTAATAAAGGTATGGCAACAAAATGTCCTTGTATCCCCTGGTCCTCACCTAAAAGATGAATTCTATAGGACCTCAAGATGAGAAAAGGTTTTTGTTGTTGTTGGATGGTTTTATTTTTCTTTAATTATTAGATGTGAAATACTTAAAGCTGAATGGAATATTTAATAAAGCTAAATATTGATTGCATTAAATATTTATTGAATCATTTGTGCTTAATGAATTAGAATATGTCAACCTGTTTATTCTATCAAGTTATCTTTACTGTAGTGATGGATTGTCAGTTGAATGCTTAAATGAGAGTGGAAATCTTGAAGGAACTTCAAATGGTAGCACCACTAGGCCTACACACTGGCTAAAAGGCTGCTTGAGACATGATGTGTACAGAATTTGGAGGGAAAATTTCAGGGTCTCAAAGCCATTTTCAGCTTTGATATTGTATCTGTGAGACAGTACGGCTGGATTTTCTTGGAATTTATGTTCCATAAATTCTAAGGCAATTTAAAAGCCAATTCGGTGGGTTCTTATGTCAGTCATGACTAGAAAATGCTAGCTGAAGAAATATCTCTTTACTTAGTACTTGTCAGAACCTTTGTTTTTACCCTTATGCCCTGTGAATTTGAAAGAGTGATGGGAAATATTATAAATTTTGTTTTCTGATATACAGAATCTTCTATCAAGAATTGTTGAAGATGAGACAGAATTTCAAAAATGCTACATATAAAAATCTCTATACTACCTTTCAGGATTATATTACCATATTTTCTAGCAGTCCAAATTTCTCACTTAATCCTCAAATGGCATGGATATGAATTCTGTGTTCACTACAAGCTAGCTTTGTTACCTAGCAGGAGAGTTGTAAGATCTCTTAGCCTGGTGTCTTCCTTTGAAAGACACAATAAAAACTGCAACAGGGGTTAAGTATGTCAATATATGTTAAAGGACATAGAAGTGTCTCTGCCATTAGTATTAGCTGTTAGGATTGGGTATTGGAGAGCACATTTATGATGCATAAACTTCAATTTCAGTACTGTCCTTTTCCCAGCTTTAAAATTGTTCTGGAACTTCATAACTTTGATAGTGTGAATGATAGACTTACGCTACAAGTAAGTCTGGCTTACTTTATACATATTATAATATGCTGATATCCAGGTCTGATCTATGAAAATGGCAATTACTGTGGCAATCAGTAAGAAAAATATGACTTTTTAAAATTGAGATCCTTCTAATTGTTTCATTCTGCTTTTTTAAACAAGAGATATTATCATAGCTATTTTTAAAGTCAGTTAACTATATCTCAATCAACAGATGAATGGGTTTTAAAATGTGGTATTTATACACAAAGGAGTTCCACTCTCCCACAATAAAGGTCATTTGTAGGAAAATGGATGTATCTTGAGAACATTATGGTAAGTGAAGTAACTCAGGCACACAAGTTTAATATAGTATGGGCTCTCTCATATGAATAATTATGTAGATGACATATATAGAGAGATGTATAGATTATCTCGAAATAAAGACAGCTAATAGGAAAAAAGAGGAAGAAAAAGGTATTATAATCCACTGGGGACAATGTGTCTAAAAGTGTGCCTTGACTTAGTACAATTGTCATGTATTATATGTTCTTTGGCCTATTGATCTGAATTTCAATCTGTATATATGGAAATTAACTTTATGAAGTCTTCTTGGGTAAATACATGAATGTGATGCTGGAAAAATAAAAGGCAAGTGGATGGGGGACAGGGACTGGAGATATTTTATATGCGTGTAGCAATCCGCTACAGTGAATATAGTCACTATATACTGCAAACGTGTACTAATAAAAGGGGGAGGAGAGCCAGTGACTAAAATCAGTTGTAGCTGTCTACTAACATACTGTGAAGATTAGCTTTGATTTGTAATGAAACCACTGCTCTGATACAAGAAAATCTGGATGATATAATTGCAAATATAAAGTATTCGATTAAATGTAAGTATTGGTGTCCTTGAGCCAAAAGATCGGTTCTTAGGTGATATACTGTATTTACCGCGTGCTAAGCAATTGTACCACTAGAGCTCCTTTGGTGAAACATTGTAACTCTTCTAAATGATAGTTTAATTGGAATCTAAAACATCACGTAACTCTTTAGTGACTCTTCTCAAACACATAATAAAAGCCATTTTAAACACAAGACTATTTTCAGCTTAATAGAAACAGAGTGGAAACAAAGACATTAAAATACTCTAAAGGAAAATAGGGAATATTTGCGTGATTTTCTGGTAAACAGGAGGGTTAATAAAAATAAGTTTAGAACACTAACTAATAAGGCTGGAACACTATTTTGATATTTGGAAGTAGGCATAAGTTTGGTATAAGAAACTGAAATATATATGGTTATATATATAATATATATGAACACACATATGTACATGCACATGCATACACTCATACATGCATGTCACTTTTAAGAAAGAAGTAATGTAGCCCTTTCCCACTTTACATAGAAGTACATGGTTGGGGCGGCAGCCTTGCTCCTGGGGGAAAGACTGAATCTGGAGAGGTGGTTATAGGCAGGAAGCAGTGTGCCCACTGAATAGGTTCCTTGGACCACATGTCCCCAAGGGGCAAGAATGTGCTGGAAAGGTCACAGCTCTGACAGCCCCCAGAGCTCTTAGTCTGGCTACTAGATTTAAATGATGCTGTGCCCTAAACAATATAATCTACCCATTAAAGTGCATAACATTATTAGGTAAATTTTATCTGATCATAAATCGATTCTATCTTTATACAACTACCTATATTTGAGTTGTTAATCATCATAGTAAGCTAATACTAAGCACTAGTATTTTTCTACATGAACAAACAATCAAGTCCCTTACAAATGATATTTAACTATGGGAAAAATGTGGCAGGGAACAATGGTGAATTCCAGGTGTGACTTCTCATGTCAGTGATTACAGTCACCTCCCAGGGCCTCGTGATTCAGAATGTGCCACAGGGAAGAAACATCTGGATAGAGAATGTTAGTAAGAGAGAATCATCCAACTCTGCTCATGCCCTCCAGAATGAATCACCTGTTGACAGAAAATGCTCTGTAAAGAGGACTGAGAAATTCCTCCTAGGCATTTTGGCATATATATTCTTTTTTTTTTTTTTTTTTTTTTTTTTTTTTTTTTTTTTTGGTTTTTCTCCGGTACCGGGAACCAAACTCACGACCTTGCGCCTGCCAGGCAGGCGCTTTGCCGCTGAGCTAAATCCCCAGCCCCAGCATATATATATTCTGATTACATAAAACCACTGTATATTCAGCGTTAATAACTTACAAATTTTTACTGAGTATTATGGAGGTAATAAGTTTGACCCCAAAGGAAATACAAAAATTTCAAAGCAAAATCCTTGCCCTGAGAAACTTAAAATCAAAAGAAGGAAGTACATGACAAAGTAAGCAAGAGAAAGTTAATATTTTGCACACTCTCCCTTCTCATTTTACATAACAGATACAACATCATTTTAAGATCAGTGGACTTCTCTAATGTTGATTTCTCTTAAAGTGAATCACATAGTTTATTCACCAATTTATTTGGTAGAGTACTATACATAGCACAGAAAATCCATTAAAAAATTCAGTGTAGGACAACAGAAATTGAGTTGGGAGAAGTGGTAGGTGGACAATCCTAACAGCTGTAATCCCTGTCACAGAAATAAGAGTTGATATTAGAGTGGAACATAGGATGGTCACAAGGTGCATCAGACGAAGGGGAAATGGAAGAGGAACAGATGCTTCCTCCCTGGATGAGGAGCTGGGAAGAATGGCAGCACCTCAGGGTTCTGAATTGGTTCTGGTAGCTTGCCCTGGCTCACAGTGTGTGTGTGTGTGATAATATGAATTTTAAAAATATGAATTAATATTATGTTTTAAGTATGGGGGTCTCAAGCTTTGGGGATGTTCGCAAAATCCCATGATATGTCTACTTTTCTGGTGTTTTATGAGAAACAAAAACAATAAAAACAAAAAACAGAAAAATGAGATAGGATTTTTTTTTGGGGGGGGGCAGTACTGGGAATCAAACTCATGACCTTGCGCTTACCAGGCAGGCACTGTGCTGCTGAGCTATATCCCCAGCTCCAAAGAAAGAATTTTTAAGGTAACTTGACCTTTTAAGTGTATGTTCCTGTTCTATAGACCTTATTTCAAATTTTATAAAAGTATATAAAAGAGCCAGATATGTTCAATTAACTTAATCATTTTAAGGTGTTAAATACTACTAAAATTTTAAAAAAGGATTTTGGATTGTGGTGCACATTCTTTTAGTATTCATGACTAAGGGGAGAGCAATAAATAAATAAAGTAATAAGAAATAGATAACTCATCTGTTATGGCTTATATCTATATATGATCTAAATACCCTCCCAAAGACTCATGTGCTAATAGATGGGGCTTTTAAGAGCTGACTTGATCCGGGGTGTGTGATGCTGGGATTAATGGTGTGTGGTACTGAATCTTTCCACTGATTGGTTTAGCACAGTTCTGGGTGTCTATGATGGGAAAGCCCTCCCTGGGTGTGGGTGGCACCAACTACAAGTCTTGTAGCCTGGCTGGGAGAAAAGGGAAAGGCAGGCTTGCTGCTGCTGCTTTCTGCTTGCTGCCTCCTGCCTGCCTTCTTATGGACTGTTTTTCTTCTGCCATGCTCTGCCTTGGAGCCAGATGACTGTGGACAGGAACCTCTACAGACTGAGAGCTGAAGTAAACCTTTCCTGCTTTAGCTTGTGGGTGTCTGGAATTTTCTCCCTTCAAAGAGCAAAGTCACTAAAGCACCATCTAACTGTGATTTTTTTCAATATGTAAGAAATAATTATTATAATAACATCATCATCACCGTGTTTGATTATCTTTGCAACTCCGTAAATAAAAGCAACAGAAGGTAAAAGTTCTCAATTTCATAC